GTTAAATATGATTAAAATTTGATAGTAACCAATTTCTCACGATATATTCGTGTGATTTTTTCACATAAAATGTAGTATAATGAGGCAAATTTCGACATGAATCATCAATCTTTTCTTCATGGTTTTCAGTATTCTCTTCAGTAGTCTGTAAAAGACTCACTTCAGTAGAAATATTTGGAAAGAATCTTTCATCAATCATATTATCATCATCATCCTCATCATTGGGTGAAGAATTGAGTTGATTTTTAACTTGTATCAATAATGATTTAAGATGATCTAAATTCTTTCGAACTTCATCTATTTCATTTTCATCAAGACTAGATATTGAATATGGAGATTTTTCTCTTGGAATATAAGAACATCGCGGAGACAATTGACTCATCCTATTCCTTATGTAAATTGAAAAACAGAAAACAAGTATGGTTGATAATCATCAAGAGAAAAGTGAACAAATATGAAGTTGCAATTAATATTCAAAACTATTAAACCAATAAATTACAACTTGAAAGATTGGCAAAAGACCAATCGTTTGGTGAATATCGTCAATGGTCACATCTCAAACTATGAGGATATATGATGTCTATTTTAAACACGCAGAGAATATCAGTGTTCTCAGAGTTGAACATATGCCCTAGATGATGAACGCCAATTAATACAATGAATGATGAGGTAGGATTTCGTGTAGATCGCCTATAGAGATGTAATTAATGTCAAGAATTAGATAATTTGTGATAAAAGGTTTCCAATGGTTTATGATAGAATTGAAAATGTAAACCATTATACTTTTTACATAGTGATGATGAGTATAGAATTCAATAATCATTCAACTGACTTCAGTCATATCTTCATTAAAAATTATAAAATCTCTTCTATCCAATCATAGATCGATCATTATCAGTATGGGGTTGCGAAGACTTTTAGGTTTTCGATTGAGATCATCAACTGATTGATGTTAGACCATCACCAGCAACACTGGACGGCCGTCCAGTGCTTCCAGGTTTTCAATGGTCGTCTAACTTTAATTGATTCATGATCTTATTCAACATAAATCGATAATTTCTCTTCACAGACTGTCAATTCGAACGATTGAACTAACTTGAAATGAATAAAGAGACTGCTTGTTTTTTGACTAACATTTCTAATGAAATGCCATTCTACGCGGGGTTCACTTTTCCATACACTAGTCACTACACAATCCTTCTATTCTAGACATCTATTTCTCGACTTATACGATTAAGTGAACTAACAGAAAAATAGGAGGATGAATGATAATGCTTTATTTCTGTTGTGACTTTATGAGCCGCTTGTTATCAGGTAATCTATTCGCCAATCAAAATACGATTTATTTGCACTTATGCTGTTCTGAATTAATGACATCCGGCCGGTCTAATCAGCCTAGCGTCCTAATGTTTCGTTGCTCACTTGAGTTCAACAACAGCATCCATTATGCGAATCATGTATTTCAGACATACTGGGTTTATATACCAGGTAAACAGACTGCAACGCAGCATAAAATACAAAATAACACTCATACACAGTAACGCCAAAATGTGTCTGTGAACGTGGGAGACGGTAATTAATAAACTGAACGTAAACTAAGAACAATATAGCATATATTAATAATCTATAGCTTAAAATGAAGCTTATAATAATAGGAATATAGATATCTACAATCACTTTACTGAATATGTATACCCTAAGAATATATAGATAATATTAATCGATTATTAGGTTTCAGATGCTACTCGTAATTCAAACTTCACTAGGATATAACAATTTCCATGTATACAATATAGACCGAACAGGACATCTCATCTAATTTGTTATTCCTATATTATTATTTTAACACATTGATACAATGAAGCATCGAATAGATATGCTTCATACTTCATCATTCGATTTGTGCGAGGGCTGTGATACTAATGGGGTATCGAAAAACCGTGGCAGGTGGTTTTCTTAGGTGGCCACACCACTAGTCAGGAGATGCAGTCCAATGATAGCCGATGATCAAAAATTGGTCCATGTGGTGCTTGTTTCCTTGAGATTCTGGAACTCATGTACACCAGTGGCTAGCAATTAGTGTTTTACATCTTCGCTAGACGGATCCTCCGTGTACTACAACCTGGTTAAAGTGTTGGATATTCGCTTTTTGTCCTCTCAATTTCATAAACAACAATCCTCATGCAAGAAGATAGCGATTTGGACTTCCCCGATATTGGTTGTATGCACATGGTCATGTGAAGTCATTTCGAGAAGGAATGCCTAACCTCTTCATTCTCAACCATACCAGGGCATTTGAGGTTCTGATTCTCATGGGTTTTGTTTATAAAGATCTATAATTGTATTTTGAAGAAATTGAAATTCATAGTATTCAAAAGTGATGATTCAATAATCCAAGAGATGGAAATGTTATCATCAACATACATAAATGATCCATGTGTTTGGTGAGATTAGATAATTTTCAATTAATTGTGGAATGTACTTTAGTGACTTCCTCATGTGTCATAATCGACTTAATTGGGGTTTGTGTTTACTTTGTTTCACATTGTTTTTACACACTTTTCTTCCAGTCTTCAGTATATATTGTTTTGTACTACTTATTTATATTGAGTAAGTATTTGTATTCCCAACTATGTTTTCACTTCTGTTGTTATGCAAGTTGTCGTGTAGCATTCTGAAATATTTACTTATAATGTGGTGTGTGCTACTTAAATTGATGTAAATAATATATGATGTTAGTCGTGAACAGATGGTCTGGCAGCAGAGAGACAAGAGAATCAAACAGGAAAGAATGGAAACAGGATGCAATTTGTATGAAAATGCAAGAACAATGAAGTCTGAGTCATTTTGAGACAATCGATGAACATTTTTCAAATTACGTATTTACTTCATGATTTCATTCTGTGAAGCTAGACCACCATGGAAAACCTGGAAGCACTGGGCGGTTGTTTCATTCTTGTCCAGGACCCCTAACCAGTGCGCATCCACAACCTCACCCTCCGCGAGATCCGAACCCAAGACCTATCGATCTCGTGCGCGACAGCAACTTCGTGGGTTGGTCGAAGATAGAAATTTACAACGTTGGATGTCGGCCATCTCAGTGGTCTAGTGGTTAAGGGTACGCACGTGAGACTAACAGGTCCTGAGTCCGAAACATGCAGGGGGCGAGATCGTGGATGCACACTGCTGAGGAGTCCCAGACTAGGATGAATCAACCATCCAGTGTTTCCACGTTTTCCATGGTGATCTAACTTCAATTGACTCATGATTTCAACCAGTGAAGTCAATGAAGAGTTTGTTTTTTTCTAAAATGTTATTACTTACGATTTAAGAATAATTAAATTATTCACTTGAATATGACCATTTTCTTTTATGAATTGATCAAGTAATTGATCATAATGAAATTTCATTGGATATAAATGATCATTTCGTTGATTGATAGTAACTAACAAATGGTTTCGTTTTGATTGTTCAATTTGTAAAGATTTCATAGTCGATTGTGTTTCATTTGGACCTAAAATACTGTTTATATGAAAAATGAATAGTAGTGTGTATATAGATTGATTCATTGAGAAAATTATTCATTCTAGTTTTATAATCAATAATGATAATTATCAAACACTACAAATATCATCAGTTTAGGGTTTGTGGAGATGGTCAAGTTTTGATCCCGGGAGCGGTAACGTTGACGCGCACTGTGTTGAGGACTCCCACAACAGAGGGATGCAGCTATCCAGTGCTCTCAGGTTTTCAATTTTGGTCTAACATCATCAATCGGTTGATGATCTGAATCAATAACAAATATCAATTAGGATTGTAGATTAGAATAGAAATCTTAATGTTGTTATGTTTAAATTAAATGTCATTGTGTTATATCTCGATAAACATAATGAATGGTGATCATTTGGGATCCATTTATGTATCAATACTATATGTATAATGTTATTGTATAATTGTCATCTAACTAAACTACTCATACTCATGTTCCTCTTATTATGAGCTTAATTTCGACCTATGAATGATTATTATACGATTTACCATTCTTGAATTATGACCAGTCTATCTATCACTACCTCCACCACTCACAGCTACATTTGGCCAATCGTGTACAAATGTTGTTTCCTATTTTTCATGGTACGATGTGGTCTGTTTGATGTATGTTTGGAATATAAGGATTCGTATTGCAGAAGCTGAGATTGGTGTTCTGGACTAAAATGGCTGAGTTATACAGGAAGCAGGAACGATCACGACTCTACACTCGTCGTACGTGTTTTAGGCGTCACTGGTCCGATCGATAATTCACTGTTCTCTAATTGGCGGTATCATTTCATTCTACATGAACAGGGCACACAGGACACAAGTGATAATACATTCAAATCATTTATAACTTACTGCTATTTTATCCAAGGATACAGTCAGATAGGTGATGAATAGTACTTATTAATACCATGTTACCTCTCATGAGGAGGCAAAAGTCACTTATCAGCATTCCTCTAATATGAACAATCTGTTCCAGTTGTTTTCAGTTGCTGTTCATCGTTTTGTTATCACGTCTGTTTTCAATTCTTGATATAATGTGTGTACTTTGGTCTTTCTCTTTCCCGTTTTTCAGATAATAACAAATAATATTTATTGAATGTCACAAAAATCTCCGTTAACTTTCATGAACAATTCCGTTCATTAGTTTTCTATATTCGTTTACTTTGTATCTGAACATAGACTGGCAAGACTTTAATTTATGAACTTGTCAATCGGAGGCGTATAAGAGATTTCAAGCTTACGGCGCAAATTTCACTGCTGAATGTTAACGTATGATCGGTTAACAGGGAATTTTGTGCACATTACAAATAAAATGTCGAGACAATAATTTGTGGACGAATCAATCAGGTATAAGATAATAGATCTCGGAATTTAACGTGAAAGCCTTTCATCAATTTGGCTAAATAAATTTCTGGCATTATATGTATGGAGAGCGTACAGACTCGTACATAGATTTGGTAATGTGCATCTTGTCGTTATACACAAGTAGCATTTCGTGCACTATTACTACTACTACTACTACTACTACTACTACTACTACTACTACTACTACTACTACTACTACTACTACTACTACTACTACTACTACTACTACTACTACTACTACTACTACTACTACTACTACTACTACTACTACTACTACTACTACTACTACTACTACTACTACTACTACTACTACTACTACTACTACTACTACTACTACTACTACTACTACTACTACTACTACTACTACTACTACTACTACTACTACTACTACTACTACTACTACTACTACTACTACTACTACTACTACTACTACTACTACTACTACTACTACTACTACTACTACTACTACTACTACTACTACTACTACTACTACTACTACTACTACTACTACTACTACTACTACTACTACTACTACTACTACTACTACTACTACTGCTACTACTACTACTACTACTACTACTACTACTACTACTACTACTACTACTACTACTACTACTACTACTACTACTACTACTACTACTACTACTACTACTACTACTACTACTACTACTACTACTACTACTACTACTACTACTACTACTACTACTACTACTACTACTACTACTACTACTACTACTACTACTACTACTACTACTACTACTACTACTACTACTACTACTACTACTACTACTACTACTACTACTACTACTACTACTACTACTACTACTACTACTACTACTACTACTACTACTACTACTACTACTACTACTACTACTACTACTACTACTACTACTACTACTACTACTACTACTACTACTACTACTACTACTACTACTACTACTACTACTACTACTACTACTACTACTACTACTACTACTACTACTACTACTACTACTACTACTACTACTACTACTACTACTACTACTACTACTACTACTACTACTACTACTACTACTACTACTACTACTACTACTACTACTACTACTACTACTACTACTACTACTACTACTACTACTACTACTACTACTACTACTACTACTACTACTACTACTACTACTACTACTACTACTACTACTACTACTACTACTACTACTACTACTACTACTACTACTACTACTACTACTACTACTACTACTACTACTACTACTACTACTACTACTACTACTACTACTACTACTACTACTACTACTACTACTACTACTACTACTACTACTACTACTACTACTACTACTACTACTACTACTACTACTACTACTACTACTACTACTACTACTACTACTACTACTACTACTACTACTACTACTACTACTACTACTACTACTACTACTACTACTACTACTACTACTACTACTACTACTACTACTACTACTACTACTACTACTACTACTACTACTACTACTACTACTACTACTACTACTACTACTACTACTACTACTACTACTACTACTACTACTACTACTACTACTACTACTACTACTACTACTACTACTACTACTACTACTACTACTACTACTACTACTACTACTACTACTACTACTACTACTACTACTACTACTACTACTACTACTACTACTACTACTACTACTACTACTACTACTACTACTACTACTACTACTACTACTACTACTACTACTACTACTACTACTACTACTACTACTACTACTACTACTACTACTACTACTACTACTACTACTACTACTACTACTACTACTACTACTACTACTACTACTACTACTACTACTACTACTACTACTACTACTACTACTACTACTACTACTACTACTACTACTACTACTACTACTACTACTACTACTACTACTACTACTACTACTACTACTACTACTACTACTACTACTACTACTACTACTACTACTACTACTACTACTACTACTACTACTACTACTACTACTACTACTACTACTACTACTACTACTACTACTACTACTACTACTACTACTACTACTACTACTACTACTACTACTACTACTACTACTACTACTACTACTACTACTACTACTACTACTACTACTACTACTACTACTACTACTACTACTACTACTACTACTACTACTACTACTACTACTACTACTACTACTACTACTACTACTACTACTACTACTACTACTACTACTACTACTACTACTACTACTACTACTACTACTACTACTACTACTACTACTACTACTACTACTACTACTACTACTACTACTACTACTACTACTACTACTACTACTACTACTACTACTACTACTACTACTACTACTACTACTACTACTACTACTACTACTACTACTACTACTTCTGCTGTAGTCTTCATATTACCGGTACAAATTTATGTAACAAATGTTTAATCAATTACAGGTTGAAATAATCAAGGATTTATTACTTTAGTTATTATCAACATCTTTTGGAATTGCACAATTCACTTTCATAGTATCGGGAATCACTATTTCATATATGTAATCGAAACATAAATATTGTTGTCTTTTTCTAATGAAATGATTATTGGTTTACGAAAATATAGACTGTTATTCACTCTACTGATCGAAACCATGAGTCAATTGAATTTTGACCACATGGAAAACCTGGGAGCACTAGATGGCCGATTCATCTTAGTAAGGGGCTACTCAGCAGTGCAAATCCACGATCTCTCCCTCCGTGAGATTCGAAACCAGGACCTATCAGTGTTGCGTGCACGAAACCCTTTCTGATAATAATCATTTGCTCACTAGTGACCGACTTCAAGTGACACTCATGGAGTTCTAGTGAGAAGCCGCTACCATTGGAGTTCAACCAGGTCTGTTATCAGATATCAACTCACTGAAGATAATGATGACGGTGGCGCAACTTCGTGGATTGGTTGAAGTTAGACGTGAACGCCGTTAGATGCTGGCCTGCTCAGTGATCTAATGTTAAGGCGCTCGTGCGAGATACTGATAGTTCCTGGGTACGGATCTCGTGGGAGGCGGGATTGTGGATGTGCACTGCTGACTAACGGCCGTCAAGTGCTTCTAGGTTTTTAATAGTGATCTAGCTTCAATTGATCCATCATTTCAACCAGTGAAAGAATTCATTTTATTGAAATAAAATTTAAACATAAAAATGTGAATTTTGTTCATCTAATGAAATCAGTGTGTGCTACTTTGATGTTAACCAATCAAATCAAAGCTATGCATCGTTGACAACCAATTCATAGTTGATTACAAGTAACACACAATGTTTGTTCATGAAAATATGAGCACTAATTACTTAGTTTAAAATAGTGTTAATCCTATCCAAAATAGTTTTCATCAATAGTCGGGGGGGAGGGTCAGGAATTTCAATTAACTATAGATCAATATCAATAAGTGTAAGACTATTGCATAACCATGAGTTCATCTCCTATGACGATTGGTTAATAATAATGAAATGATTTTATGAAATGTCATCATCTTAATGGTCAATTTGAATCATCCAATCTGAAAGAAACGTACAAACACTTCCAAAAAATTCTATATAAGACTCAACACGTTCTATCAACGTCTAAAAGGAGAAAATGATGTGAGTATTGACTGTATACTTAAGACAAATGATTGTATTATATCCATTTCAATTTGATCTAATGAGATAACATTGTTCTATTCATTTGAACCATTTCAGATCTACGTTTTCATTTGGTCAGTTGGTAACGATTTACTCAATCATTGTCTTAACGTCGGAATTTTTCGACTGTCATGAATTTTGTGAAAACGCTGATTTACTTAGTCAAGCAAAAATAATTTTCCAAAGTGATACACATAAATATGTAAGTGATCAGTCAAGTTGCATTACAAATATTCAGTCTCATTATTATCACTATTCCCAGTTCATTCGTTCTAATCAGCTCTCTCCAATTGTTAGTGAAAAGTTTGAGAAATTGGATAATGCGAAGGTGAGTTAACGACATTTTCCAACGGAGATGATAATCCATATGTTTGCATATTTCTAGCAAATAAAGCTGAAATTCCCCTTTACATTGTACGGTGCTGATCTCAACTCAGTAAAAATAGATGCTCGCGGTAAGGGAATTATTTTTCTTGAATTAAAGTTTGTTTGCTCCCATTTCAATTCCATGAATCAAAGTGGCTTTCATTACATCAATAGATCAGTTTTAGGCATTTTTTGTTTCACATTCAATACATCTACTAATGTATTTTCTTGTTCAAGTTGTACCGTTGTAGTAAACTAATTACAGTTCATGAAATTCATTCCAGTCTCTAGTCTCTTCATTCATTCACTATAGATTATTAATCAAATTGTACATTTTCATTTGATAAACACAGGTAAAATTTCTGTGAAGGCACAAAATGATTATAGAGTAATTGCAAATTTTTTCACCAGCATTTTTGTGTGTGAAACTGAGATTTTGAATGGGGGTGAGTTCTACTATTATTCAGTGAAGTTTTGTTTGTTTTATGTTTTACATTACTCATTTTTATTTTGCATAAATAATTCGATGTTTAACTTGATTATTTCATGAGAGCTGGTCAGTACACAGTGATTATTTTATTTGTGTGATCTCATGCCCTAAACTGTGTTCACAACATGTATTCATTACTGTGAAGGGAAAATGTTAAATAAAACAGTGATTCACTTCAAAATAGACACAAATTGATTGAGTGGCAATAATGAACCATTCAATGTAATTGATCAGGCGGAAATTATCTACTCTTCAATCTGTTCAAACTACCATAAAACTGATATTTCATCAATACGACACTTATTGATAGATTGATCGAATCTAGCTGATCACAGATGCAACAATAAGCGATGTTGTGGGAGAAATCAGTTTGAATTATTGAAGCACATGAACCATCAATAATTTATATTTGATGTCGTCCAAATCTTTCTGTCACTTACTTGGTTCTTATTAATTTAGTCCCTCATATTCACTGCTGTTGAACTATTGGATATTAAACACATTCTTGTTTATCATAATCGGTTGATCATGAAGTTTAAACTCATGCACCACCTCAACCATCCAATCAACCAACAATCACGAATAATGTGCTAGTACAACATGATTGATTCGAACTAGAACACCTAGAATATCAAGATGAAGGGTATTCATTTTATTCACTTACCGAAATTAATATCATCGGGGTAACATTTCCGGGCAATAATGAGTTCATAAATAAGAACTTTCGTCTAAATTTAAACGAATAGTTTCACAATATTTGGGCGCCGAGTTCATTTGAGACATTAATAAGAAGAATATATTTGTAAAATCTCAGCGAATGAATTTTAAGTAAATCCAACGTTTCGCCTGGCAATCTGGTCCAAGCTTTTTCAAGGAAAATATAATCAAACAACAAAATTATCGAATATAAATAGGTACAAGGTTCTTCGGTTTACTGTATACTGAATAAGTCATCCAATCAACGTGAAGTATTTTCATAAATATGTATTTGTATTAATGTGTAAGAGACATGTTTATATGAAAATTAATAAAGGTCAAACAATAAAAGTCCATTTGAAAATAATCAAGAGGAGAGAAATTGTCGTGTTATCCTAGGCCATAGAATGACTTAAGGATTACAAAGTAAATTCAAGGTTATGACAAATTGTTTTGTTCACATAAGGACAAGGTATGTGTTAAGATAACAGAATGTGTGTATATATGAAATGAATCAAAAATGCCACATATTGCATTAAATGATGATAAATAAGATAAGTAAACAAAATAAAAGAGGAATGTATATGTAATTGAAGGTGTGTGTTATTTTAAAAAGTTCCAGTCAATTGTCATAAATATATCAAATGGCAAAACGGAGATCAGGTTTACTTATTAATTATTAGTTGCCATGGGACAGCTAGTTGAATTCCATCTCTCCTATTAATATTGTTTGAATTAGCCCATATATGTAGGGCTTCGGCTGTTAGTCGTTCTTTGTAAGAATTAAATCCTTTTTGAATGATTTTTGTGCCATTGAAATCAACTGTATGACCCGATTCAATCGAGTGTAATGCTATCGCTGATCTGTTCTCAAGCTTTTTTACATCAATTGAGGATTTAGGAATGTGCTTTAAGCACAGTTTGTGTTCCTTCACCCTCACATTCAGTTGCCTTGATGTTTCACCTACATACGTTGCATTACAATCATTACATTTGATTTCATAAACACAGAATTGTCATAACTTTGAATTTACTTTGTAATCCTTAAGTCATTCTATGGCCTAGGATAACACGACAATTTCTCTCCTCTTGATTATTTTCAAATGGACTTTTATTGTTTGACCTTTATTAATTTTCATATAAACATGTCTCTTACACATTAATACAAATACATATTTATGAAAATACTTCACGTTGATTGGATGACTTATTCAGTATACAGTAAACCGAAGAACCTTGTACCTATTTATATTCGATAATTTTGTTGTTTGATTATATTTTCCTTGAAAAAGCTTGGACCAGATTGCCAGGCGAAACGTTGGATTTACTTAAAATTCATTCGCTGAGATTTTACAAATATATTCTTCTTATTAATGTCTCAATAATGAGTTCAGCTAAGAGAACACTGTTCAATTGAAATAAAATAATTTCACAAAATGTTTATGTATGTTTATTGTCGAATAGATATTAATGGTGGTTTAGGTAGTCAAACGCTTACAAATCCAGAAGTATAATATTTCTCTTAGTTGATTGGATTTAAACGTTCATCATATCGGTGAAATAATGATGCAGATCATTGAGACTCCTATTGAGTTGAATCGGTTCACTTCAATCTTGAAAAGGAAGATCATAACTTGTGTTTAAACACTTTTTTTTTATTGAAAGAGGTCATTGTTCATTTTACAGACACATGAACGCAAATTTATTTCACTTTCATTATTTCAGAGGAATATTTTGCTGTCAGAAGGACTTGTCATAGAAACATTGATAATAAAAGTATGTATCCACATCCATGATTGTTTGATCACATCTGAACTATGAACACTTTACATCATGATCATCATTGAATGATATTACTCAACTGTTATCTATTCCGTTTGAGTAATTGAATTCGTCTTTAAAAAACTGACGAAAGTATTGCAGTGTAAACTTTCTACAAAATCAAAAGCTAAATACACATAGAATCCATTGATTGTCCATACATATTTTATTGAAACTTTAAGAATAATTAACATACGTTTGGATACATTAGGTCATATTCTCATTTCATTTGTACATAAACGAATACAGAGATTCATCTTCATTGACAAGTTTCAAAGGAACAGGATGACAAGTCTGTACATATGTGTTCATCGGAAAATCATTTCTGTATACATCACATTCATCTGGATATTCAATCATTATGCGATCATTCTCAGCTTTTATACATTGAAATTA